CATATGACCCCTTTAAATGTCACTTTTGTATTGCACACAACTCGAGGTAAACAAACACTCGGTTCGTAATCCTGATTCTTTCTAGTGAATCGATTCGTACAAAAGGATCCCCTCTAACATATGTAGCTTTGGAAAGTACGATTCATTCCAGTGATTCGGTTCGTCCTTAACGCTTCTCTCTCATAAGTAGCTGTGGAGAGTCCGATTCATTCTAGTTAATCGGTTCGGCTTAAACGATTCTTTCTCATAAGTAGCTTTTGAAAGTCCGATTCATTCTAGTGAATCGGTTCGTTCTAAATGATTCTTACTCACTCATTCAGTTTAGTGAGTCGGTTCGTCTTAAACTTACCATTGTCTTATATGTAGCTTTGGAAAGTTCAATTATTTCTAGTAAATCGGTTCGTTTGGACGGTTCTTGTAAATTAACATATTCCAAAAAGTTTCGCCTAAGGGGCATTTCGATTGTTTGGAAGATTTAGTTAGGGACAACTATAGTTAGTTATATTTAGAGTAAATTTATATGTTAAAGTTTGATTATTTCAGCTTAACTGTGATCATTCATTTGTGTGGTTCTTATTTATAAATTATAAAATAATTTGAGTAGCTTCAATGTACTAAGACTCTTTGTAAGTAGGCATGTAGACTGGGTTTTCCAGGACTGAATATTTTAGTAGTTAAGAGTCCTAGTCCTGACCATATTACAGTGGACCAGCACTTACCGTGTCTCTTTACTCTGAAATCTATTCTTTCCTCTGCGATCAGCTGCTATAAATCCAGCTCAGATTTACATCCGGCCCCTTCAGCACTCTCTCACTTTTCACTTTGTGTCCTATAAGGTTTATTGTGTCCACTGAGCCATTTCAGACACATAAATCAAGCAGCAACGATGCTATAGACTAAAACTATGACCTCCAGAAATGAAAGGTGTAATAAAAAATTAGCGTTTGAATCCAGGAGACGACCATTTACATCAGAAAGATAATACACATCAAATTTGACACTTGGTGGCATCTTTAATAGAAACAGACAATTGAGGACAAAACCAGACTGATAGGTGAAATCTATCACTGCAACAAAGTGTGTTCAACAGAGGACAGTTTGTGTGATTTTAATGTATGCTACCATTCAAAGGTTTAAGGTCAGTAGGATTTTTTAAAAGAAATTAATACTTTTATTCAGCAAAAATGCATTCAATTGATCAAAAGTGACAATAAAGACAAGTAAAAATCCTGAAAAAATATATATATCACGGTTTTCACAAAAAAATATTAGCAGCTCAACCATTTTCAACATTGATAATAATAAATATTTCTTTAGCAGCAAATCAGCATATTAGAATTATTTCTGAAGGATCATATGACACTGACGACTGGAGTAATGATGCTGAAAATTCAGCTTTGCATCACAGAAATACATTTTAAAATATACTGAAGTAGAAAATAGTTATTTTAAATTGTAATAATATTTCACAATATTACTGTTTTTACTGTGTTTTTGATCAGATAATAAATAAGAGACTTCTTTCATAAACATTAAAAAATCTTACAGATTTCAAACTTTTGAATGGTAGTGTGATTGAATGGCTGCTGAAAATTGAGCTTTTACATTTAATTATGAAAAATTTTAAATGAGAAATTACTGACCTCAGAACTTTTAAACGCTAGTGTATTTACATATAAAATGATGTGCATTTCATGTGGTATAAAACACTTTTTTGTTTAAAATAAGACCTCTTTAATATGTGAATTATCTCTCCTACACAGTAATAGAACTAATTTTGTTAAAGTCTCCTGCTTCTCACATATTTCTCCCGAGAAAAACACCCCATAAATCTCACATCTGGCCCCTCCAGAGTTTCAGAAGGAATCTTAACAATGTTTCAAACTGTGTTGAGATTTGCCAAGACATCAAAGCATGCAATCAAAAGATTTCAGTATGAGCTCTTTTTTTCTTATCCAATTCTCCCAAGACCAAATTATCTGAGCTTTGCTATATAAGTATGTTGATACTTATATGGAACATAACTGAGAATTCCTGTACTATGAAAGAGAAACCTCTATAATAAAGTATTCCTCTGGGAGGTCGCAAACTGACACCTGATCACGTCTCTCACCTGAAGCCGTCTCTATATTGCTCTGGACTTCCATTGTTGTAGGTTGAACAGCCAGAGACAGACATGTCTGATTCATATCCTGTCTCCGTCCAGTCAACTCACTGTGCAAGGCCTGTGTCGAACAACACATTAAAGATGCAGAGGTGTGACTTTTAAACTAAATCACAGAGATAAAGCTAGACATTCATTACATCTCATTCCAGACAATTTAGAGGTGGTGAAATTGGAGATATAATTACTCGAAAAGCAATCAGAAAGCAATTCACAAACCCAAACATCAGCTGAGCTGAAAGTGACAAACTGAGAAACAAAATCATTGAACCAGAGGGAAGATGTTTTGCGGTCAATATCAGAAGGAAAACTTTTGATTAATCCTGTATGGTTTTTAACTGATAAAGCAAGATAATACCACCAACAAACCACATGCAATAATGAGCCGCAGACTCTAATAATCATATTAAAAAATTAATATGCGGAATAAATGAGGTACTTTACTGTAAAATACTGTTTAATTCAATCACCGCTATATATAAAATTACTTTATAATGTTGTTTACTGCTATTATTATGAGAGGTCTGTTTGTCAAGACAGACTTATTGCAACAGATGTAAATAATGCAATGTTTTAATGCAGTAAATACAATAAACGGCAACGATAAACAGTGCTGTGCATCTAAAGGACATCAATAATTCAGCAGAGCAAAAACAAACAAAATGATATCACAGCCTCTGTTTGAGGAACAGTAATCAAGGGGTTTCATTATTTTGTATTGTATCTTTTTATTAAAGTAGAAAAATCTATATTATCAAAAGACTGCAAGATGCCTGTTTATGCAAAGGAGGAGGTGCTGGGTACAAAGTGGAAAATTATAAGACATTATGTATAAAAAAATATGACTACATCACTCAAAATAGACTGTAAGTGTTTAGCTCTCATACTAGTGAGGTTTAATGATCCTTAAAATCAGAGATGCCTTTTCTTAGTTTAACCTGTTAACACGCACACACACACAGTGTAACTGACCGTACAGTAGCCTTGTTTCTGCAGTAAAGTATGTACATCTTCTCCCACCGGCCTCTGCCTTGTCAGCTCCTCATCTTTCAGCTTTACCCAGAACCAAAGCTCTTCAAGGATGGCTATGAGTCCTGTCCATTTCTCCGCACCGGCCTCGAAACACTCTCTGAAAGAACATGACAGTTTGAAGGAAAGTTCAGGACATTGGAGGAATCCGTTTGTTTATATTGCTGGATATATTGCACAAACCTTCTCGAGGCTATATGAATGTGGTCCAGATCTCCAAACTTATCAAGCTCTTGTGCCATGGTATTCGGGATCTGACCCCCCAGTGCCCTTTTAGAAAGATCAGTCTGGGTATCAACATCTGTCTGAATGTCCTGAGGAGAAATAACAGCATGCAGAACTGAAATTGCACCAATTCAAACAAATCTCAATAGACTCTGATTAAGTGATCGTCCCCTTGGTCTGTGTGGCCTATAAATAGGACTAAAATGAAGAGAAAATAATACTGCCTCTATAACTGTTTAAAGTAATAGTCGACCCAGAATTTTACATTTCCTGAAAATTTACTCACCCTCGGGCCATCCAAGATATAGATGAGTTTGTTTCTTCATCGGAACAGATTTGGGGAGATTTAGCATTACATCACTCGTCAATGGGTCCTCTGCATTGAATGGGTGCCGTCAGAATGAGAGTCCATTTGTTTATTACATTTGTTTTTTAATTTGTTTATTAAACATGCAGCTTTTCATCTCACATGACTGGACTGGAGTGGTGTGGATTACTTGTGGATTTTTGTGATGTTTTTATCAGCTGTTTGGACTCTCATTCTGA